TTTTTCTAGAAACTAATTCTAGAAAAGAAATCATGGCTTTAAATATAAATAAGCTATCAACATATTCAGGCACCAGTGTTCACACCTGTAATCCTAGCTACTCAGGAGGCAGAAAGCAAGAGATTGAGGTCTCAACCCAGCCTGGGCAGGTTGCAAGACCTGTCTGAAAAATATCCAACACCAAAAAGGGCTGGTGGAGTGGCTCAAGTGCCAAAGTGCCTGCCAGGAAGTGTGAGGCCTCAGTTCAAACTCCAGTACCTCAAAAAAAAAAAAAAGTATATAATTTTAGCAATAAAAAACTAAAAACATACTCAGCCATGAAGAAGAATAAAATCCTATCATTTGCAAGTAAATGGACAGAACTGGAGAACATCATCCTGAGCAAGGTTAGCCAGGCTCAGAAGACCAAAAATCGTATGTTCTCCCTCATATGTGTAGTTTAGATCTAGGGCAAATACAGTAATGTTGTTAGACTTGGGTCACTCGCTAAGGGGAGAGCACATACCAGAAGAATGGGGATAGGAAGGAAACCCAAAACTTGAAAGTGTTGATGTCCCCACTGCAAAGGAGCTAATACAGAAACCTTAAAATGACAGAGGTCAATTTGGGAAGGTGACTGGGAAGTAGTGAGGAGGTCAGGTAGAGATGAATCAATTCGGGTTGTAATACACCTGTGCATGGAAGCAATGCTAGGAATCTCTCTGTATAGCTATCCTTATCTCAACTAACAAAAGCACTATGTCTTTTTTATTATTGCTTATGTCTTCTCTTCAACAAAAGTGGAGAAAAGGGCAGAACAGGTTCTGCCTGGAAGTGGGGGTGCGGGGAGGAGAAAGAGGGGACAGGGGACAGGGGGGAGAAATGGCCCAAACAATGTATGCACATACGAATAAATGAATTTAAAAAAAAATAACAACAAAACAACTGCTAAATTAGGCTATTTTGAGAAATTTCTCAATATTTTGACTTTTATAGATTTATTTTTATTATTGTGATGGGAAGAGAGAGAAAAAATAACATACTGGATCAATTTTCTATTTTAAAGCTTAATTTACAAATTATTCCTTTCTTATTAATTGAATTATTAAAGGCTAGAAACATGAACTTTAAAAAAAAAAACCAAAACTAAAAACAACTTGAATAATACAGATTTGTTAGCTAAAATATGATTAATACAATTAATCTTTATTATATAATGATTAAAATGTTGCACATAAAAATAAAGGAGGTATACATTAATAATAGATTAAGATGCACTTGTTTTAAAAAGGTAAAGTTCTATACGTTTTAAAGCAGAGTGATTTGCATTTTATATTGCTAGCTAAAGAAAAGATATAGCCAGGCATGCATCACTCAGGAGGCAGAGGCAGAAGGATGAAGAGTTTGAAGCCAGCGTGGCCTACATAGCAAATTCAAGGCTAGCCTGGACTACATAGGGAGGCCCTATCTCAAAAATAAATAAATAGGGTTGGGAGCATAGCTCAAGTAGTACAGTGCTTACCTAGCAAGAGGAAGACCATGGATTCAATCCCCAGTACCACAAAATAAATAAATAAATAAAGTTGCATGCAGAAAAATATGAATGGCATTCTACTGAGAGAGGAAGTGTGGGGGGGGGAGAACGCATATACATATTCATTAAACATGTACTGTTTCTGGGAGAGTATATAAAGAATTGCCTATTGGAAAAAGAACTGGGTATCTAGGAAGAGTAAGAGAGACTTCCCTGTATGTTCTAGTGTATCTTTGAATTTTGGGTCATGTGAATACATTTATTTTTATAAATAAAAAATATCATAGAATACTAAAAGTCATGGGAAGGAGCTTTGCTTTCAATTTGGTAAGCTTCTACTGGATCAACCCTCCCCCCATAACTGTAAACTTGGGATAATACAATAAGTAACCACCTGAAGAACTTTACAGTTAACAAAAGCAAGAAAATTTAGAGGGAGGTGACTCTTGGAAGACAGGATGTAGCATAGGGTAAGTTTCCCAATTTTGTTACTACAGTAGCCTCAGGGAAGTCCACAGTCAATGCTATGCAATGCTGGGAAGGGGAGGGAGGGGAGGAAGGGAAGGGTAGGAAAGGAAAGGGAATAAAGTGTCTGCTAAAATAAGGGCTACCTATATTTTGCTAGGAAAGTTCTGGTGGTCAGTGACTTTCAGGAAATTAGTTCATTTCCTTTGAGCTATTCAATTTGTGGTCATAGAGCTGTTTGCAGTATTCCTTTATTATCTTCAAAATGTCCGTGAAGCTATAATGATCTCTTTCATTCCTGACATTGGTACTTTGTGTCATCCTCCTGTTTCAGAGTTTATCATCTGTATTGGTCTTTTTTGAAGAACCACCTTTTGGTTTGGTCAATTTTCTCTATTATTTTGCTGTTTGCAATTTTATCAATTTCTATTCCCACCTTTATTAATTTCCTTTCTTTCCATTGCTTGGTATTTATTTTGCTCTTTTTTTAGTTTGTTAGGGTGAAATTTATAATATTGAGACTTTTTATTGCCAATATAAGTATTAAATGCTATAAATTTCCTTCTAAGCATTAATTTCCATTGCATTCCATCAATTTCAGTATTTTTGAATTGCAGTTTCAGTACTGAAACTTATCTTGGAACTGGAGCAAGACAGAAAGAAGAAAACAACAAAAATATAACAGGGATTTTTCCTACTTGTCTGACTTGTTGGAAGAAAGAAGACTGGGAATCTTTCAGTTCAAGCTCCCAACAGCAGGAGCAGAGAGGTCTCATTTAATGTGTAGGGAATTCAGTGGAAATCCAAGAAGTGGGAAAAACTAGTCCTACAGTAAGTCTACTATAGAGCTACCCTAGTAACACTTAAAAACTAAGTCTAAAAGTTTGAAACTATTCATAGAACAAAGTCCAACACTGTTTAAAAGAATACCAAAAAAGCATTCACTAAGTAAAATCACAATGCCTTCTACCTACTTAAAAATTACTAGAGGACTGGGGTACTTGTAGCTTAGTGGTACAGCACTTGCCTAGCATGCACGAGGCCCTGGATTTAATCCCCAATACTGAAAAAAAATTACTAGACATGTGAATAAGCAGAAAAACTGATCTCAAACCAGAAAAATAGTCATCAAAACAAACTGAGAATTATAGTGATGATGGCATGAGTAGACAAGAATGCTAAAACAGTTATTACAAATATGATAAATGTGCTAAAGGTTTAAAGAAAAACATGAAGGTAGTGAGTAGAGAAATGGAAGATGTACAAAAAGTACCAAATGAGCTCCAAGAGATGAAGAATGCAATTTGAGAGAAATACCACTAGATGAGATGAACAACAGATTAGATAAGGCAGAAGAAAAGATCAATGAACTTGAAGACATGACAGTATAAACTATCATAGAAGATGCAGAACCCTTATCCTTTCATCTGAACCTCCATGTGATTTAAATGTTTTTATGGCAGCTACATGTAAATTTATTATAGCACATTTCCCGTTTGGATAGGAAATCTGAGTAAAATCTAAACATGTGTCACATCAAATTTTCACATGCTAGGTGTAGAAATATAAGTATGTTGGATCATGTGTGGTTTGTTGATTCCAAACCAGTGTTTATTTCTCAGCACCACACAAGTAGTCCCAACTGAGCCTAAAAAATATATGTGGCTCACAGTTCAATCTCTGTAAGAGACTGTATTGACCCATAGGAGGAAGCAGGCAGCTCAACACCAGGCTAGGACTCTAGACAGGAAGCTGAATAGCACTTTCCAGATCTGTAGCCTTGGTAAGGAGCCCAGTTCCTAGTTTCTGTTTCCCAAGGGGCCCTTTTACCTAGACACCTACACTTTCACGGATATTAAAGCTCTAGTCTTTAAGGCTTACATCTGGTCCATAATCCCTGCTTTTACCCAGAGATCAGGATTACATGGGGTGGAGACACCTCAAATCTTGCTCACACTATGGGTCCTCCCTTCTTTTCTGTCATCTGGTGATTTCTCTTTTTCTAAATTTATTTTATTTATTTTTTGGTGGTCCTGGGGTTTGAACTCAGGATTTCATGCTTTCTAGGCAGGTGCTCTACCACTTGAGCCACACCTCCAGCCTTTTTTGCTCTGGTTAATTTTGAGATAGGGTCTCAATTTTGGCCCAGGCCAGCCTGGACAGTGATTCTCCTATTTAACGCTCTCTACAGTAGCCAGGATGACAAGAGTGAGCCAATACACCTAGCTTTTTTCCATTGAGATAGGGTCAAAAACTTTTTTGACTGGGCTGATCTGGAGCAACCATCCTCCAGATCTCAGTAGCTTGGGATGATAGGTGCATACCACTGTCCCCAGCTATTGGTTGAAATGGAGTCTTATGAACTCCCTACCCTTGCTAGCCTTAACTGCAACCCTCCAGATCTCAGCCTTGCAAATAGCTAGGATTACAGGCCTGAGCTGCCAGCTCTTCTTATATTTGAGCCTTGCCATATGTATGCCTTTAATGATTAAATGTTTTATTAAGTTTTGTAAAGTTTTGAAGTGCAAAGGAAGAATTCTGTTATTTGCTCAGTTTGTCTTCTCAAGTGGAAGATCTAGATATAACTCTTGTAGTAAGAAAATAACCAATAACTATTGAAAGGAGTAGCAGCAATAGACAAAGAAACCTGTCTCCATGTTCCCATGAAGTCTAAGAAAAGTAATCACAACAATTTTTTAAAGTTTCTGAAAACTGAAAATCTGAACTTGGGGCTGGTGAAGTGGCTCAAGTGGTAGAGTGCCTGCCTAGCAAGCATAAGGCTATGAGTTCAAACTCCAGTACCAAAAAAAAAAGAATCTGTACTTGACCTTCACAAAGAATCATTACCTTGTATAATTTTACACCTCTCAAGCATAGCTTATAATATCCCAATGCTTTCAGTTTTAATAAATCTACATTTTTACTAAGTATAATTCTTCAAAACAGATTTTATCACATCTATATTATGTCTACAAAAATGTAATTTGTCATTCTGATAATTGTATTTAAGTGCTAAAATTACCTTTATGTTTATTCAGAAGCTTGTAGCCTTCACAGTACCTGCCTGATGAAGTCATCATCTTGGCCGTGTTGAGATAAGAATATGTTGCAGCAAAATCAAACTCCTTTTTGCCATTCCACCAACCTTTCTGCTTGGCATAGCTTCTCATGTTTGAGTGTTCCCGATCAATCTTGGTTGTTATAGAAAGCTGATTAGAAATGTTACGAACTCCCTCTATTTTCAAAGAAGGAAAGGGATAAAAAAGTCACATTTAGCATAAAGTGCCTACCTGTACATTATGGTTTTTAGTCACTATTTAAATGTAAATACAGACTTCTAAATTTTGTGCCATGTACATCTGCTACATAGTCTAAAAGATGAATTCATTTTTAAGATTAACTTTATTTTGAGATAATTGTACATTCACATGCATTTTTAAGAAATAATAGATACTGTGTACCCTTTATATTTACAATGTATTTTAGAATGATAGCATCTTGTAAAACTGTAGTATAATATCACAATCCAGACGTTGGTATTGACAGAGCCAAAGAAAACACTTTCACTTCCACAAGGATCCCTCATGTTGTCTTTTTATAGCCAAACCCACTTATCTCCCATCGCTAATTCCTCATTAACTCTAGGCAGCCCCTAGTCTGTTCTCTATTTCTCTAAATTCAAGAATGTTATTTTTTACTCAGTATAAATCTCTAAAGATTCATCCAGGTTATGTATGTATCAACAGTTCATTCCTTTTTATTGCTGAGCAGTATCTCATAGAATGGATATATTACAGTTTATTTAACTCAGACATCCTTTAACTTGGAAATGAACAGTTATTTCCAGTTTTAAGTCATCATGGAAAAAAGCTGCTATAAATATTTATGTACAGGTTTTTGTATGAATGTAAGTATTATTTTTCTGGGATAAATGCATAAGAGTTTAAGTGCTGAGTTAGTTACATTCAGTTTTTGAAGAAATTGCCAAATTGTTTTCCATAGTAGTTGGTAATACATTTTTTAAATCAATGTATGAATGATTTAGTATACATTTTCATCAGCAGCGGGTAATACCATTATTTTATTTTAGTCATTCTGATAGAGTTATAGTGATATCTCACTGTGTTTTCATTTGCATTTCCCTAATGGCTAATAATATTGAACACCATCTCAAATAATTATTTGATATCTATCCTTTTAGGTGACAAGTCTCTTCATATATTTTGCCCATTTTCTAATTGACTTGTTTACCATTGAGTTTTGAGTGTTCTTTATATATTCTACATATTTTCCTTTTCTATGCATTATTTTTAAGTAATCATGAACAGAAAGGCAAAGCTTCCAAAAATACTATGGCATTAAGTTAAAACTTTCAACTAAAATACAAAAAATAATAAAAGTCTGTTTTTAAAAAGATAATAATAGATGATACAAGATGCTAAATGAAAAGTTGGTCTTTCCAAAGTGATTAAAATGACCATCTGTCAAGTATAAATCAACTAAGTTAGTTATTTATCTAAAGAAGCCATGCTTGGGACAGTCTCACTACAAAAGTAAGACTTAAGTCATAATAGAACCAAAAGACAGTGAAGAATTTTCCATCTAATAGATAATTCCTTATAGTTTAATAGCTTAGTTCCTTTTAAAGCTAATATATACATATATATTTTTAATTGGCACATAGTAATTGCACAAATTTATGCTATACAGGATGGCATTCCAGTACACGCATACAATATGTAACAATCAGATCAGGGTAGCTGGCATATCTATCATCTGAGACAAATTATTTCATGCTGGAAACATTCAAAACAATTTAGGTCTTGGTCTCATTTACTAATAGAAACAAAAACCAGTGGCTAAGTTAAATCTACAACTGGATAATCAGACTCAATGAGTGTTCATTTTGCATGACCAGGTGAGACTTTTCAACAGAATGCATTTATTCATTTCTGTTTCATGTAACACATTTAATAAAATAAAGTGTTCTATGATGTAATCAGCTTAATTTGCATAAGAAAATGGACTAAACTGAATTTTATATATTAACATTTTATTAATAAACATAAAATATATAAAATAAAATGCAAAACAAAACATGTAAAGCAGAATATTTAAAAACCAGTTATTAAAGAAACAACTGGTAATGACCTATTTTGGAAAATAACATTCAAATCCTCCACAGCTCAAGGTTTACTTCATGAGGCCTGTCTGGCTCACAACGGCCTTTTCTTTCTCTTATGTTCACAGCAACTATGTGCCTGTATCATTCATGCACCATTTAACCTATTTTCTTGTGTATTTTATCGCCCAAGTAAAACCAGAAGATCCACGAGGTAAGTAATCAAGCATGTGATTGTTTGAACACAAGGCTATGCTCTAAAGAACATTTATTCATTGTAAAACAAACTAAATTACAAAAAGTTGTCCGTACCTTGTACTTTTTCTGCTGCCCAGTACTTCCCTGCAGTCTCCAGAATCCAGGCTTCTTTCCTATCAGCTATCAGGAAACTGTTGTGATAGCTAAATTCCATGCTACCCTCTGTACAGTTTCCACCCTGGCCATATTTTTCTAATAAATCAACAATGACATTAAGGGCTTTTTCAGCTGTATCAGCTCTTTCAAGACCAAGTCTAAAATAAAAATATTGAAGTTATAGATTAAAATTAAATTTTTTTTTAATTTTATGCTTGTGAGAATTTATTTTTGTTTGTTTTTTGCAATACTGGGATTTGAACTCAACGCTTTATACTTGCTAGGCAGGTACTCTGCTGCTTGAGCCATTCCTCTACAGTCCAAGAATTTGGGTTTACATTCAAAGTAAAAATTCTTGCAAGTTAACAAAGAAAATGAAATCTAACACTTAAAACTTTTCCCTCTGAAGTCAGTTTGGGATAATGAAAACAAAGTTTTTGGAGTCAAATGTTCAAATTCCTCTTAGTAATTTATTGGCAGGTTACTTTATCTCTGAACCTCAGATATCTCATTTGTAAAGTGAAGATAATAACATAAATTCCATGAGGCTATTGTGAGAATTAGTTTATCATGTGATAAAATTCATTAGGTACTTTCAATGAATAATAATTTCCAACTTCTACTCTTCTCCCAATTAATGATATTTGAGAGTCAAGGAATTGGATTTTGATACTCTGAAGCATTTTGACATAAACTATAAACTATCAATGTTCAAAAAATAGGAAAATAAAACAGGTAAATGTTACTACAAAATTTAAATTTTAGACAAGTTTTATAGTGGGGAAAAAAAAGAGAAAAAGAAAAAAATCACCTGACAAGGTCCATGCCTAGTAGTGCTTCCTCATTACAAACTTCTTCTCTTCCCCATACAGCTTCATTCCCAATGCAAACTCCATGTTCATTGGCTCCCATTTCTGCCCCCCACAACCAAGCTGGGCGACTAAGGACAACAGCGTAAGTTTCAGGAACTTGGTCGATTTCTATATAAGTACACTGTAAAAGAAAGAGTTATACAACGACCACAAAAATTTTGAAAAGTTATCAAAATCCAGAACTTAAAGCATCATTCACAATATATGACCTTTATGAGGGAGATAAATAAAATATAACTAAATTAAAGTTTTCGACTTAAAGGCATTAACTTAAAACATTCAGAATTAACTCTAAAGCATTTATTCATTCAAGTATTCGGTAAGCATTTCCTACTATAAAGTACTCTGCTAAGAAATATGTTACAAAGATGAATCAGTATAGAGCTTACTTTCAAGAAACTGAGACTTCTACATTAACTAAGATATAACAAAATGTAAGGTTTTATAATGGCCAGGCAGAGAAATGAACATGAGTTGGTTTAGAAACTCAGGAGAGAGATGGCTGCTAGTTATGAAATCTTGAAATCTTTTTGTAAGAGGACAATTAGTGTGAGTTGAAGACTAAGGAAGCATCTTTCAACTTCAATGCCTAGTGTCTCCTAATTAGTGATGTAAGTACCCATATGGTAATCTGTAAATCCAAGAGAAGCCTATGTCACTTGTGGAAGTGGCTTATCAGGTATGTCCATAGCAATGAAAAGAATGACAGCCACTGGTTTACTAGATAGGAAAGATTTAAATATGCAGCGATAAAGTTGAACTGGTATCCCAGATGAATAAACAATTTCAATAACAACAAAAATGCCTAGGACTGGAGGTGTTGCTCAAGTGGTAGAGTACCTGCTTTGCAAGCTCAAAGCCGTAAGTTTAAACTCTAGTCCCACCAAAAAAAAAAAAAAAAAACCAAAAACCATGGCTTAGTATAAAAAAAACTAATAGTTCATATATCCTAGTATTAAAATATCAGTAAAATGGAATCCAAAAATACATACCTTAGCAATAAAAAATAATATGAGACTCTCACTTTAAGTTCCATACACCAGTGGCTCATACATGTAATCCCAGCTACTTGGGAGGAAAGACTAGGAGGCAAAAAATTTGTGAGACCCCCATCTCAATCCATAAAAGCTGAGCATGGTTATTTCAGCTTGGGAAGCAAAAATGGGAGGATCCTGGTGCAGGCCAGCCCTGGGCATGAATGGTGAGCTCCTATTTGAAAAATACCTAAAGCAAAAGGAGCTGGAGGCATGGTCTAAGCAGTAGAGCACTTGTCTAGCAAGTGCAAGGCCCTGAATTCAAACCCCACTACTGCCAAAAAAAAAAAAAAATCCTCTAAGTAATGTGTATAATACAAGTGACTACATAAAATGCATGTTAATAGTGCTATTGTGGGGCCTTGTAAACCTTTTTTTGATGAATCATAAAACTTATTTCCAGAGTCTGGAATAACTTTTTAAATTCTATGCCACCCAGATTCTTTTTGTCTATTAAATTCCAGCTGAAACACCAACTCCTAGGGACACATTCCTGATCCTTAGTCTGACTTAAATGCCTCCTCTGTAGCCACAGCATGTTGCTTACTTAACCTTAGAGTGGCGTTAGTCGCAAATACAACCTATTCTTATAGTAGACAATAAGCTCCTATAAGACACTGACCAAATCTTAACAGCTGACTTTAAACCCCTTACCCTAACATGTTTGCACATAAAAAACACTGAAATATTTAATCAAAGAATTAACAGTTTTGTTACTGTTATTTCAACTTTTTCTATAAGACTTTTTATTCAAATTATCTTTCAAATTTAAATTCTTAAATTTGAACATCTGTAGCCTTCTGCCAATTGGTAGCTAATGGTGAACATGGCCATCCACGATCATTTTAAAGAGGCACATTGCTAACAAAACATGTATTTCACCTACCTTAAGCTGTTCTCCCAAATTATCATGCACTGCAGCTGGAAAGTAAACAACCTCTTGTACTTCATCGCAGAGTCTATCTGAGTTTTTTCCAAAAATAATCCTATTATCAACTGTCGCAGGAGGTAATGCCACAAAAGTGTCACAGGAACAGGGCTCCATTTTTAAAAAAAAAAACTAAAAATCATACACGTTTCAAAATAAAAAGAGAAAATATCTTTAAGTATACACAAAACAATGTGACCAAAGATACTATTACCAGAGTGTTTTTTAAAGTTTTAAGCATAATATACTGTAAGCAGCAATGACTTTGGAACCAACCATATGCTAGAAGAATTAATAAGAAAATGGCAGTGAGAACTTCTTTCTTCTATTCTACAGGTCAGATTTATTCTCTAAAACCTTTCTCTCCTGAAGTCTTCTCTGAATTTCCTTTCACTATTCCCTATGTGGCTACATTATACTATATTTGTGTATGTTTAGGAGTCCCCTTACTGGACAGTGAGATACTTGAGAGGTAGGAGAATGTCTTATTAATCTTTGTATTGTCATCATTGGAACTTCTTAAAAAAATCGTGTTCTCAATATTTCCTCAAAGAAAGGAAAAAGACGTCTCCTTTGATCTGAGAAAGAATGCTTGAAGATTATAATATTGAAAAGAGAGAAGAATACACACAGCTATAATAGTGAAAAGACAAATTTTGAAACAGACTAATTTGGGTAAATGCAAAAATTCCAGTTGTTAATATTTGCAAGTGAAAGTTCACAAATGTATCTTATAAATCCTCATTGTAGAATTTAATATATAGAATATGTCTTCATTGGTAATCTGGAAAATCTTAAATCCTCAGTTTTAATAGAACACTTTAAGTGTCCACTTTTTGCTTTCAGTATAGAGACATTGTCTTATTTTCCTTCTTTATTTATCTATACAGGTAGATGTTAACAATTTAAAAACAATAATCTAGTAAGTGTTTCATTAAAAAGAAAACAAAATAATGTGTTTCAGCCTGCAACTCCTAAAGGTTTTTTTCCCCTCCTAGATGATGGCAAGAGAGGTCACCACCGCTTCTGTTCTTTTGTTCACTTCTCTTTTGAGTACAACCCTTCTGTTTGTACTGCAGCTAGCGCCTCCACTGTGTACCTTAGGCAGGCTATTTAATTCTTCTCTATGCTTCCATGCTTATTAGTATAATGAAAGATACTATTTAATGGGGCTGTCGTGAGAATTCAATGGCAGCGTACGCGCTTTGGTTGACCCTCAAGTGAAAGCGGCTACTGTCACTTGGGTACTTATTTTTACCCTCGTCCCAGCTAGCCGACTTCGTAGCCAGTAGCTTCAAAACCCCGAGTCCCAAGGGCCACCCAGCTGGGGTCGTCGGAGAAGCTAAGGACCCTCGTCCCCGGGTTCGGCGTGCGAAGCCTGTCCCGTTACAGCGCGCTCGTCACTCAACACTTGTTTACTGAACGTCTTTCTGCACAGGGCACCGCAGAGTTGGAAATGGCTGGGAAAAGCGGGCCCGTTCTTATGAAAACAGCTGACGCTTCAGTCAAGTGCACTCAGGAACACCACACCATTTGAACCTCACAAAAGTGCTACAGGAAGGACGAGAATTACTATCTCCGTAAAACGGATGAGAAAAACGGCGCAGAAAAGTTTCTGCAACTGCAGTCAGCGTTGCTAGAAAGCAATAGGCTCCAGCTTCAAGATGTCTTGGAGAAGAGCCGCCACCGCCAACCCCGCAACCTGCGCCGCAGCTGGGCCCCACGCCCACCCGCGAGCCCCGCTGTGGCTCAGCAGCTCAGTGTCCTCCACTCCTACCTTCGCTCGGCACGCCCCTCCCCCAACGCACGCCTCCTGCCTCCAAGCTAAGTGACAGTCGGAAGAGGCGCGAAGGGGCGGATAGAAAGGGGAGGGGGTGTCAGTTTTTCCGGAAGTTGTCACCTTTGACCTCGGAAGTTCTCACTGTCGCGGGAGGCGCAGTTCCGGCTAGGAGGCAGAGTTTGTTTACGTTGCTCTCGGAGCTAGACGTTGCTTTCACTAGTTCTGGCTCCAAGATGGGGAAATCCTTCGCCAACTTCATGTGCAAAAAAGACTTTCATCCTGCCTCCAAATCCAATATCAAAAAGGTGAGTGAAGGTTTTCGGACAGGGATCTGGCCCACGACGGCGGCAATGCCAGAGGTTGCGGGAGGTGAGATTGATGTTGTTGGGATTCCTGGGACATGGCCTCTTCTCTAGCCTGGAGCCCTGGCGCTGTCGCCCCTTTAGCGCTGAGCAACTCGCCGACGAAGCGGATCCTCAACGTTTTCTACCGCGGCGAGGAGCCGGGAGGCGCTTGCTTGCTCCATCGGCTACTGTGCGACTCCGCACACCGCGGAGACTGATGCTGCGGTTCCTCAGTCCAACCTCGCGCTGGTTCGGGTCGGGCATCTCGAGTCCCAAGGACAGCCTTGCGCTGTGTCCTGTACAGAGGACTCGAGAAATTCACCCTTGCTTCCACTCTTCATCCCACTGGGTAGTGTGGTGTCTGATGACCTTGTTAAACAATTAATTACGGGTCTACAAAGTGCAGTATACCAAAGACCATGGTGGAAACGATAGCAGTAAAAAGCTGAATGATGAAGTATAAAGTATCCGAACTTTGGAGTCAGACCCCGTATTCTGATTATTCCAGCACAGTCACGTTTAGCCCTGAGGCTTTTTGTACAAAACAGTTAATATCGCTGACCCTCAGTCTCCTGTCGCCTTGACTTAAGTGAGATGGTGTAGAAAAAGGATTTGAAACAAAACTGTGTGCACCACATAGTGGGAGTAGTTAATCAAATATTAAATTCCATGTATACACAAACTTGTGAGAATGAACTCACCTTTTACTTGTCTTTAAAACCAGTTATGTTGAGTTATGTATGCTACCATGTATGTAAAAACATGTATGTTATGTATATACTTTTAGCATATACATTAGAACATCTTTGGAAGGGTTTACAAGAAATGGATAACGCTGGCTATCTGTGAATATAGTAACTTAGTTTAAAAGAATAACTTTTAAGAACCAAAATCTAACAGGACATAGTGGTACATACCTGTAATCCCAGCACTTGAGAGGCTGAGGCAGGAAGATCATGAGTTTGAGGACAGCCTGCACTACATAGTGAGACCCTAACTCAAAAAACAAACAAAAATTCAACTTGTGGACTGTCAGAGTGATTCAAGTGGTACAGCACCTGCCTATCAAACATGAGGCCTGAGTTCAAGCCCCAGTCCTGCCAAAACAAAACAATTTGTTAGAAATCATTCTGTGATATCATCCTTATTCTTTGACCCTTTTAATTAATATCTTGTTCTGTTTATTTTGTATGTATTTCTGATACATGCATGCCTGGATATCAGACTTTATGATCATTGCTTATTTAACACATTTCCTATCACTTCTCTCTCTTTTTTTTTAAATCATTATATAGTTTCAACATACAGAAAAATCATTTTTTTTCTTTTAGTGGATTCTGAGCGTTTTGACAGCAGGATTATGTTGTATTCTTTTATTTTGTTTTGTTTTTTGGCAGTGCTGGAATTTGAACTGCTTGCTAGGCAGGCACTCTACCACTTGAGCCACTCTGTCAGCCCTTTTTTGTGTTGGGTATGTATTTTGCTTTTTTCTTCCCTGACTGACCTCAAAGCATTGTCTTCCTGATCTCTGCCTCCAGAGTGGCTGGGATTACAGGTGTGAGCCACCGGCACCCAGCCTATTTTATTAATTCTTATTTCAGTCCATGGAATTTGAGCTCTTGAGCAATTGAGACCTGTGTAATAGTGTTGTAAATTCTAAAGCTTTAAATAAATAGTAGTTATTCTGTTAGAAGTAATATGTTACTCTAACAGGCAGTAAGCCTTGCAGTTAGTTCTCTGTTACATTGTTTGCATATATAATTACAAATGTGTCTTTTACTGACTATCCCAAGGATAAGCTTCTCTTCTACTATAACATCACAGTGGAAGAAACTTATTCCAAAAGAAATTTTTAGTAGGTTCTTTTCCCCCTTCTCTACATCTTAAACTGTGTCCCCATGGATCTTCCTACCTCAGTGCTACAAAATGCTGACAGCCACCTTTGTTTTACTTTGAAAACTGAATAATGGCAGTGTCCCACATACCGCTCCCCATACTTATCTGATACCCACTCATAGTTGGTAATTACAGTTATTTCAGTATGTTCTCAAATTTATATTCTTAAAACTTACCATGTTTAGAGAAAAATTGGCATGCTGCTTATGTTGAATAGTTGCCAAACTCTCTCCTTTATTCAAAAGGTAGTAAAAAGGTATTGATACCTTTTAAACCTGGAAGTAGCATGAGTAAAATCCTCACATAATTTATGTGGGCTTTTTGCACAACTTTGAAAACTTGACAATGACACTTTCAGCCTGAGGTGTTCATAACCTCGCAGCTAAGAACATCTGATACCCCTCTGTCTTACCTCTTGGCTTCTTCTCTTGTGTCTTCCATCTTCTCTACCAATGCCTTTCATTTCCTTTCCTTTTTTCTCCTTCTTCTCCTCCAGTTTTCCTCTCTTAGGGTGTTAATGACACCCAGTAGCATGCATGGCCATTGTTCAACCTCCTGGTTATGCCCTGTGCTAATGAGTTATCCAAATTAGACATTCCCTGTAGAGAGATGCTTTTTCTATGCTCTAAAATAATAAGAACTGAGTACAGAATTCATTGTACTACGCATACTCAGAGTGGCTGTCCAGTTTGACACTTTTTCTCAAAACTTTAGTGGTCTGAATGGCTGAATTTAAAGGCTTATAACAAGAGGTAAGTCAGATTTTTTCAGATGTTATTTTGTGGATATCATTATGACCAAATTGGATTGTGTTGTAAACAGTAAGCAATGGCATATTTTATTAAAGAAGAAAAACAGACTTCCTATTTAATTTAAACGCAAGTGTTTACACTTTTTACCTCACTAATTTAGGTATGGATGGCAGAACAGAAAATATCATATGATAAAAAGAAACAAGAAGAATTAATGCAACAGTACCTTAAAGAACAAGAATCATATGATAACAGGTAAGAAATGCCACCATGCCAGTGTTTTTAGAATAATCAGTTACATAAAATAATAATCACTTACTGAATCATTCTTTACTCTCATACTTATAGATAACCATTTATTCCAACTTTTATCACATAATTCACATAAAATACAGCTTCATGTAACTCATGTACCCTCTGTGAGTAAGTCACAGATTAGACAGAGCTTTCAGAAATTATAAACATCTACATTTAAACTGCTGAGACCTCTGTTTAACATATACTAAAATGAAAAGGTGCACATAACACCCATAAAAGTGAGGTGTCTCTTTTGGCCATGTCATGGCCAGAGTTCATAGGTTTCTTCCAGCATGGTACCTGTTCTTTCACTGTTGTCATTTTATCTGTGTTAGCAACTAAACCCAGTTACTGTTGGTTAATCAGTCAAGTGAGTAGTGGTATTTTAGTTACCTAGTGAGTATTCTGAGTTGTAGAACATTTATTTTCCTTTGAAACTCTAGACCATTTATCATTTCACTCTTTGACTATTGAGAATAATGCTATTAACATTGACATAGAGATTCAAGTTCCTGTTTTCGGTTCCTTTGAATATATGTTTAGGAGTATAATTGCTGGATCTTAAGTAGTTCTATGTTTAGCTTTTTAAGGAACCATCAAACTGTTTTCCATAGTGACTATACTGTTTTACAGTTTCCACTAGTATTATGGAAGAGTTTCAGTTTTTCTATATTCTCAACATTTATTATTTTTCCTTTTTTTTTTCCTATGTTTAGCTTTTTAAGGAACCACCAAACTGTTTTCCATAGTGACTACACTATTTTACAGTTTGCACTAGTATTATGAAAGAGTTTCAGTTTTTCTACATTCTCAACATTTATTATTTTTCCTTTTTTTTTTCATTTTTTAATAGCTATCCTAATCAGTATGAAGTAGTATTTCATGTGGTTTTGATTTGTGTTTTTCTGATGTCTAGTAATGCTAAGCTTTTCCTGAACATAATTTAAGCTTTTAACTGATGTTAATTTAAGACAAAATTTACACACCTGTTTAAAGTATATGTTAGGTTTTAAGTATATTTAGAGTTTTGGAGTTATCACCATAATCTAATTTCAGAACATTTTCATCACCAGAAAAAGAAATCTTGTAGCAGCCATTCCCCATGCTCCCGAATTGTGTGTGTGTGTCCCCCTCTCGCAACCCAAGTAATCACCAGTTTACTTTTTGTCTTTATACATTTGCCTGTTCTGGACACATCTTATTAGTTAGATCATATATTATATGGTTTCTTTGTTTTGTTTTGTTTTTTTGTGGTACTGGGGCTTGAACTCAGGGCCTATACCTGGACCAGCCCTTTTTTTGCAAGGTAAGGTCTTGCAAACTATTTGCCCAGGCTGGCTTCAAACTGCAATCCTCCTATTCTCTACCTCCTGAGTAGCAAGGATTACAGGCATGAGCCATCGGTGCCCAGTTTATGTGGTCTTTTGTAACTTGTTTCTTTCACATAGCATAGTGTTTTTGAAGCTCACTCATAATCTGATAAGTATCAGAACTTCATTCCTCTTTGCTGAATAATATTCCATGGTATAGATGTCTATCCCTATATCTGTTTGCTGCTTTTTTTTTTTTTTTTTTTTGTCAGTACTGGGGGCTTGAACTCAGGGCCTTGTGCTTGATAGGCAGGTGCTCTGCCACTTGAGTCACTCCACCAGCCCTTTTTTGAGATAGGGTCCTGCTTTCTGCCTAGCCAGCTTGGACCATGATCTTATTTGTGCTTCCCTGTGTAGCTGAGATGACAGGCTCACTCACCCACTGGTTGAAATGGGGTCTTGTGAATTTTTTACTGGGCGACCTCAAAACTACCATC